GAGGTTGTTTCAGGGTTCAATCTGTGAGTTAGCCATGCCCTGACTTAGATCAGCCCAGAGGTTGTTTCAGGGTTCAATCTGTGAGTTAGCCATGCCCTGGCTTAGATCAGCCCAAAGGTTGTTTCAGGGTCCAATCTGTGAGATATCTGTGCCCTGATATGATGTAAGAAAGATTATGACATCGTTGTCAATAAATTTAATTTATTTTTAAAAATTACATTATGAAGGAGAAAGTGATTCTCATGTCAGCGCACATCTAAAAGATGGATTGATGACAGCTACAATAGCAACAAGCAATGAGACATACATAGTAGAGGTAAGTATGCTACGACTGAGAAGGGGCACCTTCTTTGCTTGTGAGCTCCCTTCTAAATAAGCAGGGACATAGGCAGGGGGACCAAGGGGGCTAGTTCCACCCACCACAAGTTTTTGACAAGTTTTAATCGATCTCTCTATCTGGACAGCTAACCAATTATATTTTGGTGTTTTACATCGATGCAGTGTTCTTACCAGGAATTTCTTTTAGGGGGTCAAAGGGCCCACCAATCCGAAATTTAGGGGCCATTTAGAAAACTGGATGGGCCAAAATTTTAAAACAATGAATAATAATGTTTTTAGCCAGTAACTCTGTTGCAAATCTACAACAATGTAAGACAGTTTTATTAGTAATGACAACACAATAAAATTTCGCTGGGCAGCCATACTTGGGCCATCAATAAACAAAGGCAGTTAACACAGGCTAATCCCAGACGTCTTGGCGATGGCGGCTATGTTCGATTCGTGGCGTTTCATGTGGACTTTCACCTTGTTTATCGACAATAACATAATGCRACTTTTATTATTTCAAAAATACTCTAAATCTTTTAAAACTATCAGGAAGTATTCTTTGGATAATTCATGCGCCCCTAGGGGCGCATAGATTTGATATTTGCGTGCCATTTCTGATTTTTATGCGCGAATCCCGCAATGGCGTGGCCTGGTAAGAACATTGTTGATGTATAAACTCTGCCTATTCAAACATCGAGGTGAAGCGTTGATGTCTAATTGGTTAGCGGTACAGAGCAAAATTAAAACTTGTCAAAAAGATGTCAAAAAGAAATCAAAAACTTGTAGAAATATTCACTGTACGGCGCGTAGTATTATTAATAAGTATGTACATACTACCAGTAAATAAAATCAGAAGTAATTGTATCGAAATAATCTTTTAGCCATCATGGAGACACATCAGTAATTCTAGCAAAGATCAAATGATATCCTATCGACATTCTGATGTCAAGTTTAACGTCACTTTTCACAAACCAAGGTTAGTGCAGTATGCCAGTCATTTCAGTAGTAATTATTTTGCTGCATGGTTTTCAAGGGGTTATTGGGTCAGCTTACCTAAGTGTACATTATATATGGGCATATAAAGTATGTACACTGTAGGTGCTTTACTATGTTTTATTATATAGTTAGGATAATAAGCACGTGCTAATTGGTCGAAAACTGTGCTTTATTAGTGAACGGAGCACAGTGCTGACACCATCCGCATGTGTGAAGTGCTGCTAGATCCTGAGACTGTCTTTCTTTTTGTGTAAATAAATTCAACACAGAAAAAAAATTAGTAGCTATATGATAAAATGAATACAACAGCTTTTTCTGTGCTCCGTTCAGTGATAAAGCACTTAGGAAGTGATAAAGAGGAAGAGGAGGAGGAAGAGAAGAAGGAGGATGGTGATTATCATCATCATGATCAAGGAGGATAGTGATTATCATCATCATGATCATCATGATAAGGAGAAGAAGGAAGAGGAGGATGATGATGATGTTGATGATGATGATGATCATGATGAGGAGGAGGAGGAGGAAGTGATGGTGATGGTGGTGATTACTATTTTTATCAGTCTATTGAATACATTTGTTTTTTTCTAACAGCAGCGATGGTCAGAAAGAATACAGCTTTTGTGGCAACACATCCCCTGAAATTAAAGACGACATTAACACTACCCAAAGTAGTAAGTACACTAAGAAACAGAAATCAAGAATTCAATAAATAGTATTTCATCTGCATTTATTTTTACCGTCAAAAAACATGAAGCATGACCACTACACAGGAGCATTTTTCAGTTCATATTGGATTTTTGGTTGTTCAATACTCCATTAATGAAATCACAAAAATGAAATTTTAATTTCAATTAGCCATACAGACATGTATGTCTCTGTGCTTATGACACTGATTGTGGTTTGTTTGAAGTGCCTATGTCACAAAAATCAATATTTTCAGCATTCATTCTACATGAAGTGAATAGGTAAATGGTAAAATTGTTACGATAAAAGAAAAAAAACAATAAAAAAGATAAAAGTATAAAAGTTCTTGTTTATTGCTATGTTACAGACCAAGACGACAATCAAAGAAATCGCCGTGCAGCGCTACCAACCAAGTTACGATGTCCATTAGCTCTTGTTGCTGACTATCGATTCTACAAGGAGATGGGGGACAGCGATGAGAAGAATACTATCAACTACATGGTAGGACATTAATAAATAAATTGATTGAT